AAAAAATAACTGGCAGATAGATGCTCTATTTTTGTAGATATATATATATATATATTTTTTTTTTTTTTTTTTTTACCTCTTACAATATATATATTTGCGTACATCTGTATAATCCACAAATTATGTTGAAGTATCCAAGTCTGAACCACTCCAGACCCTGTTTCCAACTCGATCGCCAAGAGTAATTTTTCGTTCATTGGAATCGGAGTCCATCGGAATCGGTTTCAAATCAGTTACAGCGATTGAATTTGCAAGCGAGATCTGGCGAATAATGTTGTTCTGGCGTTTACGTTCTTTTGAAGCCATCGCCTAATTAGAATATATAGTTATATTACACAGACCATGTTTATTTATATGAAACGAACATTCCGGAAGATTACCTCTGAATCCATTTTTGCAAATTCTTCGGCACCAATGTTACCACTAATAACATTTTCACGTAATTCAGGATTTTTCGAGTCCTTCAAATTCCAGATCTTACTTCTTGCAATATCCTTATAATGTTTATTCACTTGGAAGTTACAGTCACGATACATGCATTGCTCAACACGTCTTGCCACTTCAGCTAAGCGTTGATTTTCCTCTTTAGATTATAAATAAGGCGAGATTGGGGCGGTAGTTATGATAAAGAGTATCACATAAGCAAGCGATATTCGTAAATGAACGCGCGGCCGGTCGGCTTCAAATAACAGCTTACCTTCGCTGCATTGAGAATTTCCGACGAGTGCTTTATGAAGCATCCTGATACCTATTTTACAAAGAATCGATGAAATAAATGGGTATGATGAAATATCAAAAAAAAAAAGAAAGAAAAAAAAGATTATTAGTAATGATTATTATAACTCTCACAATTATCACTTCATAAATCCTCTAAACTTGAGAAACGCACATCCCGACTGTGACAATAGAAAAACAATTATCAGTGACAGTGGGCATTAAATAACATATGCACTACAAAATCATAACTTACAGTTATCTCTAAATTTGTCACCGGTAGCAACTTGAACAGGCATTATAATACTATGTCAAACACGTAAAGTAAATAACGTGAATAACGTGAAATAACGTTTCTACTATATGTACAAAGTACGTTTAACTTTTCTTAACAAAGATCACAACTACAATAATTTCGGTGATACTGTTTGATTTCTTTATATTATTAGGGTATGCGTGTTTTTATAACTATATAGCTATAGCTTAAACATATATCATTTAAGTTCGAAACTCTGAAGAGGTGGTAAAATCTGAGACCCTTTTATATGTTTTTGTACCTATTAGTAAGGAACACTTGAAATTGTGGGACCGATAATCGCAGATGGCAGATGACCAAAAATTCACGTAGTGTAATGTAACGTCCTAGACGTATTGAGAATAAAAGTTTAAATTTAGGAATGTAGTACATAAATAGAGTTACAAAAAAACAAACAATTGCACATCTGTTTCCGAATATGTTGTTATCAAATCGTGCAAGCCCATAACCGCGTGATATTAATGGTGTCTTTATCAACCGATCATGCCCGAACCAATCAAACAATCTGACATATGACTAATTAACAATATCATAATTTTGCTTGTCTCATTTGCCATATATGATCATGCGATATGGATATTTGCGAATAGATTGTAACAGTTTTTGCCATGTATGGATTAG